TGGATGTGTCAGGGAGTGAGGCAAAGCTTTATTCCAGAATATGCAGTTCCAATCTGTTTGCAGAACAACATGGTAAAAATAACGACAGTAAGTTTGGTGAAGGATATTCTGTTTGTTTGCTGCCTGTGATATTGGCTCAGGCTCTGCATGTTTTTTTTTTTCTTTCTTTTTCCTATGTCTTCAGTGTTTTTGTAGCTACCATCACACACACTCGACAGAAAAGCAGCATGAATACACTCTAACAAATTGAAAATGTAACACCAAAAAAGGCATCGTCTTTCTCTCCTCCCTGTCTTTTCTCCTTAAGACTTTCCCACCACAATACACAAACTGCCAAAACTCTTAAGTGTAAATCTGACCCCTTTTTAAACTCTGTTAAAGATGCATAAAAATATTTCTCACCAGATGCAGGTGCACAGTGACTCATCTTTCTGTCCAGAGACTGACAGATGTCACATAGCCTATTCCATAGACATCAATAGAAAAGTTTGGAATTTGGATATACTTACTGCCAGTGATGGAGCTTTGAGGTCGGCTGGTTTAACAGTGAAGGTCTCGTTTCTTCCTCTGAGTGCATGTATGTGTGTTAGTGTGTGGGAATGTGTGTAACACAAGCCACAGCTCTGATTGAATGCGTGGGAATCGACCAATGGCAGCACAGTTCCTCCACTGACAGACATGACAAGCTCCAGCTCTCATACACACAGGCACATAGAGAAAGGAGAATATACCTAAAAATACATTTGCACACAATCCTCACTGCTCTGAAAAAAAAAAAAAAAACTCCAGACGTCTGTTATCAGACAGTTTGCTGTAAGTCACCAGTGCACAGAATCAAATGAGGCTCAGTGTATTAAAGGATCAGCTTTAATCTGATTTATTCTATTATAAATTTTTTCCCCACATCGCTCTACCATCAGTTTTGCAGCGACCAAATACAACATTATAGAGCGCTTATTCATCAAAAAAGTCCAATATTTCTGTTGTTGTAAAAGGGACAGTTCACCCAAAAAGGGTAGATTCTGTCATTATTTACCCACCCTTATGTTGTTAAAAAAAACTTTTTTTTTGTCTGTGAAATACAAAAGTATATTTAACAGATTGTCCAAGCTGCTCTTTTCCATATAATGAGAATAAATGGTAACTACGACTTGTAAAAAAGTAATATATTTAAAATACATTTATTTCATGTGAAGTATAGTTAAAATCTATTAACATATTTACTGACGTATCACTCGAGACTTACTGATATAAAAATTATAATTCAACTGTATTGAGTACTACTTGTGCTCAATGCACATTTCTTAATATGAAGCCTAAAATGTGTTTTAATGTCAGTATCGATGAGGATTGTATGATCTTTGAATAATATTGGTCTTTACATGCACCAGTCGCATACCATACTAAAAGCACATAAATATGTAAATGTATCTGTAGTACACTTAGCATGAAATAAATGTATTTCAAATACATTTTAGTATATTTATTTTTAACTAAGGCCTTGTCCCAATCTACTTTCATCAGAAATGTCAAATATTTATCGTTGAAAATGTAATTCAATAAACTAATAAAAAATAAATAAAATCTAATAAAAATTAAAAATATAAGTTAAAAAATTATAATTGTTTGCTTCACAGAAGAGAGAAAGTCATATGAGTTAAAAAAAACGAGGCTGAAAAAGTGATAATTTTCATATTGAGTGAAATATCTCTTTAATATGTGTTAGTTGTTTTAATAAAGGCACCACTTATTTTATTTAATATTAATAACATTATCAAATAAGGACTCACAAAGATGACCTTGACATGGGTATCTGATAAAAAAGAACATTGAAAAACCAAAGACAGACCGATTCATTCTTTAGCACAGATAATAGAGGTGTCTGCAACAGCTGTCAGCCACATACACACACGTCATGAGGATTGATTGTCATTGTGGGTGTTCCTCTACAAGGAGAACACTTCTGAAAGGATGCCTCATACAGTATTTTGACATATAACAGCAATATTTTCCTTTTTTTGGAGGTTCAGTCTTAAAGCTATACATGAGTATAGCTTTCAGAAAATTTGCTGTCTCAATTCAAAAGCTGCGGCCTCCAGAGTTCACATTTGTCGGCCGAAAACGTCATTTAGGCCATCTCATTTAGGAAAAGTAACCATTACATTGCAGAGTATGAAAGAAATTACAGTAATTTATGCCTCACAAGGAACAACCATTTTATAATGGTTAATTTTCTTAAATGAGACGTCCTCAGTGATGAATGTGGCCAACAAACGCAACCTCCATAAGGCGCAGCCTTCAAAATAAAACATAGCTACTGAGTTTACTGACAAGTCATTTCAAACATTAGTCAGTGTCATAGCTTACAGCAGATATGTGTGTGTTGTATTTCTTTCAAGCACTATTGTCATTAAAATTGTACGTAAATTGTGTATAGGAATAAATGAAAGTTGTAAAGAGTTAGAATTGAAATATTTTCTCAAAAAGTGTTAATAACACATCCTCATTTCACTTTCAGAAGACTCCGCTGAGATGTTGGTTCACGTTTCTTGTCTCGCTGGCCGCTCTGGACAATCGTGCAACAGTCTCAGAGTTCCCAGAGTGTGAGTTACACAAAATGTGCGTGTTACGCAGTTTGGCCCAGTTTCTCCATCTGTATCTGCAATGCTGTAGGGAGCATGAGAGAAAATACATTGATTTAGCTGCTCAATTCTATCCCAAACCAAACACAAGTTAATGGACACACCAGATCCAGCACCAGTAGCTTTTCACTGATGGCTCTCAGAAGCGTTCCACCGCCTCAACGTTTAATCTTTTTGTGCAGTTTAAGTAAAGGGTAATCTTAATAAACTCCAGCTATAAAGACATTAGAAACAAGCTATCCCCATTTATATAATCCCCAATATTGATTATATAAGAGTGTTTTAGCACACGACCCAGCCTTCTTAAAAGCCTCTTAAGGTTGGAAGACATGCGCAGCTAATTATCTGCCCACCACTAGTGTGTGTGTTTCTGAAGAAGCTTGACAGGACTGGATTGTGTATTCTACAATGAAGAGATGACAGAGAGGGGGTCATGTGTGGGAGTGTGTCCACCATTCTTTAGATAAAGCATACTGTTATATTACATCAGTCATATTGAGTCAATAGCAGCAAAATATTGTCATAATGGCTAAGTTAGTGTGGTGTCAAATGTGAGTCATTTATCTTTTCATGCAACATTTGTGTGGGTGGTGACGTCGTAATCAGTCTGTTTTTCAGCATTAAAGGAATAGATCACTCAAAAATGAATATTCTGTCATTTTACTCATGACTTTCAAAATCTGTGTGCTGTTACATTTCCTGTGGAACACAAAAGAACTTTTCAAAACACCTTCATGCAGCTCTTACAATATAACAACTGTTATGACAATGGCTGTCAAGCTCCTTTTGTGTTCCATGGAAATAATAACATTATATTGTTAGCTAAACTTTAAAAGTGACTTTGTTAATTGAAATAAAGCTGAAATAAAATTAAATATAAATATTAGGTGAAAAACCTTAAACTCACACTTGCCTTGGCAACTGAAAAAAATATACGATGAATAAGCTGAAATACTATGCTAAAATGACTAAAACGGAAATGAATATAAAAAAGACAGAAGCACATTTAATGACTAATAGCTTAATTTCAATGGGAAAAAAAGAAATTATCTAAATTAATTATATTAATAAATGTTATAATAGTATATAAAATAAATACTAAAATAATACCTATTAATAAATATTTTTGGGTGAACTATCCTTTAAACATAACTTATCAGAATATAAAAAAAAATTTAAAATCAAGACTTGTTCAATCAGTTTTATTAAAAAGGTTAATCTGTCATGCTTTTCACAAAACACTCATATACACAAAGTCAAAGCAAAAGAAAGAGGATGCTTGACAAAAGAAGCACAATCTATGACAGCAAGCATGGCTGTACATGTCACAGCAGATTGCATGCTGTCATGCTAATTATTCAAAGTGGCAAAAGCACAGTTAACAAAATGTCAAAAGAAATAGCATAGAAAGTTTGGCAGGTGAAAATAAAGGAGAGTGGTTGCATATTGCATTAATTATTTTGAAAGAGATGTGAATTTCCGTCCTTTCACCACTAGAGGGAGGTACAGCTCTAAATCAGGGGTCTTCAACCTTTTTCAAGGATCCCTTGGTGGATATAGACACATTTAGTCAGATTTAATAGATTCATTCTAAGCCTGGCCATTAATAACATGTATATAGGCCCTACAGAATGTATTTGCATGCCTATGATACTTACATTGCACATTCATTAAAAATCAGTGCTGATCACGAATTTTATTTTGCAAGCATGCATTTACTTGTTCAAAAATGACTTTAATCAACAGCAAGACCTTTTGGTTACAAAAGATTTCTATTTCAACTAAATGCTGTTTTTTTACTTTATGTTCACCAAATATTTCTGAATAATATCAGTATTTCCACAAAATATGAAGCAGCACAACCATCTTCAAAACTGACGAGAAATGTTTCTTTAGCACCATATTGGTGCATTGGAGTGATTTCTGAATGATCATGTGACTGGAGTAATGGCTGCTGAAAATTCAGCTTTGCCATCACAGAAATAAATAATATTCTAAAATATATTAAAACAGAAAATAGTTATTTTAAATTGTAATGATATTTTACAATATTAAAGTTTTTACTGGGGTTTTGATCAAATAAATGCAGCCTTGGTGAGCAAGAGATTTAAAAGAAAAAAAAAATCTCTTGGCAACCCCAAACATTTGAACAGTAGATGAACTTCAGCAGTGTTTTTTAGTTAACTTAATACTGTTTTTTTCCCAACAAAAATCGATTTGAGATGAAATGATAATTGCAGTACCGCCACTTGAAGACCCCTGCTCTAAAGCTACACATATACAACAATGTGTTTTTACACACATCGTCAGACAACATAAGCAAATGCCAACATGAATGATAGAAAGCAGTTCTGATAGAAGACACTGAAAAACTGAAAACCACAACGTAAGACAGCAGTGTCCAGCATGCAGAGCGAGAGAAGCCAGTCTGGTGAGAAGCTGCATCACAGAAGAGCTGATAGCGTGTTAGTGAAACTACATCAACACACAGCAGGGCTTGTGTCTCCTTTTGACCTTTTTAATCTTTGGGGTACCTGTAGTGGACGGGTCCTCCGTGCCGTCTCTTTTGCCCTTCCGTCCCGCAGAGCAGATAAAGGCATTGGAGTTTTGATGGGGGTTCAAGCTCTTGCTCGCTTCATCTTCACCGTCTCCAATGATCACCAGCTCTGCCTGAACCGAGCCCTCATAGCTCTGGCTGTCATCTTCGGCATTCTGGTATCCCATGAAGATCATGGTGACGGGCTCGTCCGATGACATGGCGTTCAGGACGCTGAGTTTGGAGTCCTCAGAGTAGGCCGAACACGGGCTGTGGTTTCTGATGTCACAATCCAAAAGTCGCATTCCCTGGTGGTTCTCTCTTTGGTTGTAATACTGTCCATGCGTGTGTCTTTCCCCTTTGTTTTGATAGTATTCGTCTGGTCTGTCACTGTAATTAGGCATTGGCAGGAGAGGAAGTCCATGACCCACGTTCTCTGGATAGCACACACCATCATTGTACACAAGCTTAGGCCATGCTAATAAGTCGACGCTATATGGATCTTGGTATCCGTTGGATTCGTGGCTCTCTCTGACTTTACTGGCCTCATGGGAGAGGTTGTAGGGAACCTGAACCTGATTGGACCTCTTCTTTTTCTCAGATGCCTGTCTCAGCAGCTGCTCGACCTCAACAGGACTGAGTTCATCCACTCCGTTCGCACCAGGCTGGTGGCCATCTGTACGCAGGGCGTAGACGGACTTCCGGCCATCGTCATAGACTTTGATGCCTTTCTGCTGGAGCTCTTGGGGAGAAATGGTGGAGGTGGAGAGGACGTGGCTTTCACCTGTGCGCAAGTCCTTCTGGACGTTAATTTCCATGGCGAACAAAGCTGTAAGAGACAAATGGATTGTGTGTAATATATTAGCATTACAGATTACAAACTACCCTATTTAAAATGTAATAAGTAGTGTAACTATCTGATTACATTTGATTACTTTTATACATTTCTAATGTTTTCAACTGTTAATCATTTTCAAACATTTAAAAGCACCTTAAAATAGGACTCAACACTGATTACTGTCAGACTTTCAAAATCCTTCATCACTTGAATTGAGATTATAATAATTTAATTTTAAAGTGCAGCCACCACAAAATCAGACTTTAGCACCTGTTTACTTTGAGCTATGATACTGTTTTTGAAATAAAATATTTGCATAGTTATGACAGGAAACACTGGCATCTAACATTGCCTTGGGGGAAAAAAATGTTAATCTTAAAAAATAAAGTATAAACATAAACCCAAATAGAAAATAAAACAGTTGAATAAGCATGTGTCCTCTGTCTAAACTCCTGAAACATTGGTGTCTCATATTTTTGAGCAGTCAATGCAATTTGGGAAAGAAATCAATTAAATCTGTATGTGGGTGTGTGTGTGTGAAAAAATTCAGATGTAACCTCCTCTCACAAATCAAGCCTCTGTGGCTCCCTCCGATCACCACCAGAGGGCACCGGCACCGGAGTACTAACTGTTCTTAAGGACTTCATTTCCCATCACCCCATGCCTGCGACTGATTACCTGCACACCTTGCATTATTATTGGATTTGTTCTCTTCTCTGTCTGCCGCCTGCCTCGACCCTTTGCATGGACTCAGGTTATGATTCTGCCTTGCCTACGTTGCCCTTGTATACTGTTGATTGAACTTTGCCTGTCTGTTTGTTAATAAAGCTGCACATGGATCCCAACGTCACTGAATCCTCATTACAGAAGACTTCGCCACCAGTCGATCCAGCAGTTTTCTATCACTTCACCACAGAAGTAACCGCCCAAGCGTCAGTACTGGCATCTCATCAACAACAGCTTAACCGACTTACCTCACTCACAGAGGAGCTGGTAACGACTCTGCGAGCTCTGCGGATACCACCACCCGAGGAGAGCTCTCCCCCGTTTAACCCACCTCCACACGCTCCGGCAACTGCTGCCGTCACCACCAGCCCTCGCTTGGCATTTCCAGAAAAGTTTGATGGATCACCCACGAAGTGTAAGGGGTTTCTGCTCCAATGCTCTATGTTCGTTAATCAACAGCCAATGCTATACCCCACGGACAGTAGTCGCATTGCCTTTGTTTGTGCGCTCCTAACTGGTAGGGCGCTGGATTGGGCCACCGCGGTGTGGAGTGAGGACCGCATCGTTTTCCCCTCATTTACCAGTTTCATTCAACGCTTCAAGGAGGTGTTCGAACACCCCGAGGGTGGCAAGGAGGTAGGCGAGCAGTTATTATCTCTCCGTCAAGGAAGAAGTTCAGCGGCTGACTACGCACTATCCTTCCGCACGCTCGCTGCTCAGACAGGGTGGTTGGATGATCCCCTCAAGCTCCTCTTCCGCAAGGGACTCAATGCTGACCTGCAGTCTGAATTGGCCTGCCGTGATGAGGGTAAATCTCTGGAACAATTCATTGAGCTGGCGATTCGCATTGATAACCTCATCCGCTCTCGACGACAACCTCGCCTCTCTTCGGCTCCCATGGTTATGACGCATCTACCACCTGAGACTGAAGCGATGCAGATCGGCTATACTCATCTCAGCGTGGAGGAGAGAGAGAGAGACGTGTTCGCCAGAACCTCTGTCTATACTGCGGTCTCTCTGGACCCCTGGCTCGAAAAGCATAACCCGTGTATTTCCTGGTCCAAGAAACAGATAACTCGGTGGTCTGAATCCTGCCGCCAACATTGTCTGAACCTGACTCCCCACGAGACAGAAAATAAGCCCATCACTCCACCCAAAATCCCCATGATAAAAGTACCACGATTTAATCGAGGCTTTCAGCAAAACTAAAGCGTCACAACTACCTCCCCATCGTTCAAGTGACTGTGCTATCAACCTTCTATCTGGTTCACATCCCCCCCAAAGGCCGAGTTTTTCCCCTGTCACAACCCGAGTCTGAAGCCATGAAATCATATATCGAGGAGGAATTAACTAAGGGCTTCATTCGACCATCCACCTCACCTGCTTCAGCCGGATTCTTCTTCGTTAAAAAGAAGGATGGAGGTCTTCGTCCTTGCATTGACTACCGTGGTCTTAATGAAATCACTGTCAAATTCCGTTACCCCCTACCACTAGTCCCAGCAGCCTTGGAACAACTGCGGACGGCCAAGTATTTCACCAAGCTGGACCTTCGCAGTGCTTACAATCTCATCCGTATCCGGGAAGGTGATGAATGGAAGACGGCCTTCTCCACTACATCTTCATTCGCGGTTTCAGCACAATTGCAGCACCCATGACATCTATGATCAAGAAGGGGAGACAGCGTCACGTCTGGACACCGGCCGCCAGCTCCGCATTTCAAGAACTTAAGGAGAGATTCACCACCGCTCCCATCCTGCATCATCCCGATCCTGAACAAGAGTTCATTGTGGAGGTGGATGCTTCCAGCACTGGCATCAGCGCTATTCTCTCTCAGCGACATGGTACTCCTCCTAAACTGTTTCCTTGTGCATTCTTCTCTCGCAGAAATACGATGTGGGCAATCGAGAACTCCTCGTTATGAAGGCAGCTTTTGAATCACAGAGGCCCAAGCCACCACCAGCCGAAAGCCCACCAAATCTCACTTACGTGCCGCGTGCTCTGCGTCAAAGAGTAATTCAATGGGTTCACTCGACTCCCAGTTCTGGTCATCCAGGTATCGCCGCCACTGTACAGCTACTCACCAATTGCTTCTGGTGGTCCACATTGCAGGCAGACACTATAGCATACATCCGGGACTGTTCCACATGTAATGTAGCCAAACCCTCTCACCAACTACCTGCTGGCCTCTTACAACCTCTACCCATTCCACAACGCCCCTGGTCACATATAGTCATAGACTTTATCACTGATCTACCCTTGTCCGGGAGTCATACCACGATCCTCACAGTTATTGACCGATTCTCAAAGACATGTCGCTTGATCCCTCTGCCCAAACTGCCCACTGCTCTTGAAACGGCTGAATCCTTATGCAATTACGTGTTCAGGTTCTATGGTCTTCCTGAGGACATAGTCTCCGATCGGGGGCCACAATTCACCTCCCGAGTCTGGTCGGCCTTCTGTCAAAAACTGAATATCAATGTCAGCCTCACCTCTGGTTATCACCCTCAGTCCAATGGCCAGGTGGAACGTTTGAATCAAGAGCTCACCCGCTTCCTCCGCTCCTACTGCCACCGAAATCAGGCGGACTGGAGTCGTTATCTGTTATGGGCCGAATATGCTCAGAACTCCCTACGCAAGCCAGCCACAGGCCTCACTCCTTTCCAATGTGTTCTGGGTTTCCAACCTCCCTTATTCCCATGGTCCGGGGAGCCCTCAGACTTACCTGCTGTTAACTCATGGCTCCAACGCAGCGAGGAGACCTGGAATGAGGCACATGTCCACCTTCAACGGGCCGTTCGGCGAACATATACTGTTGATTGAACTTTGCCTGTCTGTTTGTTAATAAAGCTGCACATGGATCCCAACGTCACTGAATCCTCATTACACCTCCTTTGTAATTGTTAACACTTTCATAAGTAATTGTAATTTAATTACACTTTTTTTTTCTCAGTAACAGTAACCGATTACAATTACATTTATTTTGTAATTAAATTACGTAATTTTGTTGTCATCCAAACCCGTTTGAATCTAAACGGTTTACTTAAAATACACCCAAAAAATTTTTCAATTTAACACCACATTTTCATGTTCAAGACTATATGCTTTTGGTTAATGGGCACATGACAAATGAATCTGTTTAGTTAGATTTCTTTTGATTTTTTTAAAACTACTTTACAAATTATATTAATTTTCCATTTTTATAATTTGAGTCATTATTGATTTTTATAATTGAATAGATTTTTTAAAATTAGCTTTAAAGGGTTAGTTCACCAAAAATGAAAATTAGCCTGTGTTTTACTCACTCTCAAGCCATCCTAGGTATATATGACTTTCTTCTTTCAGATGAATCCAGTCGGAGTTATATTAAAAATTGTCCTGGCACTTCTAAACTCTATCATTGCAGTGGGCGGGTGTTTCTGTTCAACAGTCCAAAACACATTAAATAAAGTGCGCGCATCCGTAATAAAACGTGCCTCACATGGCTCCGGGGGTTGAATAAAGGCCTCCTGTAGCGAATCCATGCGTTTTTGTAAGAAAAATATCCATATTTCAAACGTAATAAACACTTTTCTATCACTTCCGCTATCTGTCATACGCGGAAGCAGTTCCGGCGGTTGACGTAGGATGTATGCGTAGCGTGATTAGTGACGAGAACAAAACAAAATGCCGGTCATGAATTAGAAGCACAAAACGAGGATTTGTAAAAAAAAAAATGTCGGAGAGTTTCGATATAAGCCAAGAGGAGACTGGTTTTCCTTTGCTAAAGTAAGGAACTTTGCTTCCTTAAACTCGTGAGACTAGTATATCTCAGAGGCGTGAGCCATCCGCCGGAAAGCTTCCGCATACGACAGTCAGCAGAAGTGAGAGAAAAGTGTTTATTACGTTTTAAATATGGATATTTTTCTCACAAAAACGCATGGATTCGCTACAGGAGTCCTTCTTTACCCCCCCAGCCGTGTGAGGCACGTTTTATTATGATGCACACGCTTTATTTAATGTATTTTGGACTGTTTAAGAGAAACACCCAACCACTACAATAATAACGCTTGGAATAGCCAGGACAATTTTTAATATAACTCCGGTTGGATTTGTCTGAAAGAAGAAAGTCATATCAGAGGTGTAAAGTATTGGAGTAAATGTAATTAGTTACTGTACTTGAGTATCTTTTCGGGTACTTTGTAGTTGTACTGAGTATCAAAGATATTAGCAACTTTTACTCTTTACTTCACTACATTTTTGAATGAGTATCTGTACTCTTTACTTCACTACATTTGAAATGAGGGTTGCAGTTACACATTACATTTTGCATGCACCTAGCTTTTTCTAATTTTTTGAACCAGGCTGTAAACATGTTTTTTTTCTGCTGTAAAGTTGGGCATTTTAACATGGGGAGTCTATGGGATTGACTCCCTTTTGCTGCCAGCCTCTAGCGGCCAGTTGATGAATTACAGTTTAAGTCACTTCCTTGTTGGCATTACCAGAGAGAGCGGGAGGTTGCCGCTTGGTTTTGCCCTTACTCACCCAAACTTGTCAACAAGGCTACTTTATGTGAATGCGAGTTCCTTAGCAAGTATTTGTATTTTCACTGGCATGTGTCTTTGAATAGTGACTAGACATCTTTGAGCCTATATTTAGTATAAGTAAAATACTTAAGTACTGTTAAAATCAGATACTCTAAGACTTTTACTCAAGTTGTTTTGGAATTGGTGACTTGTAACGTGTAGTGGAGTAATAAAAAATAAAAAAAAGGTATCTGTACTTTTACTCAAGTATGGTTTTTATGTACTCTTTACACCTCTGAGTCATATACACCTAGGATGCCTCGAGGGTCAGTAAAACACAGGCTAATTTTCATTTTTGGGTGAACTAACCCTTTAAGCATCTAGTGAACTCCCAGGGATTTGTTAACCCCCGTTTGGGAAAGCCTGTATAAAATATTTATTTTGCTGTTCTACATTATATAAAATATTGAAAACAGTCTGTAGTCTTCTTTCAGTTTACCAGGTTTGGCTTGGTCGGTTTTTGCTTCAGTTTCCAGGTCTTGTTTCTTCCTCTGATTTATTAGGGTCATGCTGGGCTTTCGCATGTTTGGAATTGTTGAATGAATATAGATCGGTTCTGCAAAAAGAGTGAAAAGATTAATAAATATGGCAAAATGCATCACAACAATATGCTGGCAGTTTGTTTTATGGTCTGTACAGCATTGTGATGGAGTTTTACAGTATTTACCTGATGTGAAATCTGCATTCACTGCCTGTGGAGTTACAAACAGAATCACATCCTATTATAAAGTCTATATAGTTCATCAAAGTAAAAAGCAGTTTTTGATCATTTTAATTAATTAACCACATCAAAAACAGTGTACCTTAATGATGTCCTCTGGAGACTTTTCAATGGCTTTGAGCCTCTTTAGAATCAGCCCCTCATTTGTTGAGATGTTCATTTCCTCTCTCTCCAACGCTTCAATCTCTTTCTCTATCCTACAGAGAATTTGTTACAATAATTGTTTAAATAAGACTTTCTAAATATGCAGTCCTCAAGAGTTCTCCTTGCACACACACACACACACACACACACACATACAGATTGACCTCTATTCCCGGGTCAAGTCACACAAGAGTGCCATCCCTGACAAAGCACCTGTCACTTTGTTTGCACTTTTTGTTGCATAGACATGCTAGACCCAAGAAGCAATGAGTTGTTAAAAGGTTATGAAAGCAATATAAACAAATATTTAATAACATACATTTGAATTTACTCATACGACTGATGTTCAGTCAGAATCAGTCTGAATCATTTAACACACTCTCTAATAATGAAACCGACAGCAATATTTGTGCTAGGGTGCGACCTGCATGTAGCAGCCTTTCAAGGACACTGGAACAGCTTTTTTTAGCATCCTTCTCTGACTTCATTGCTACTACAAAGCAATGCAGTTACAAAGCATTGCACATCTCTTGCCTCATACTTCACTCGAATAGATTTCATTACAGCACCACAGGACAAATGATATTAGCTGAGAAACATCACACCAGCCCTGAAGTTCTTTGAGTTAAATACAAAAGAGATTGAACTCTTAACACAATGATCAGATTGAAAATGCATTCAGGAGATGTCAGTGCACCTGATTTGCTACGATAATCTCAATAAATTAACTGGCAGTCCTAAATAGCAAAATGGTTTAGATCACATAGTCACTGGCTTAAATATAGTGTAAATAATGCTACAATAAATAAATGTAACTTTATTCTTTCATCTTACCGATGTATGGTGCTCTTGAGGTGCTTAGTTTGTTGTGCATCTTCAAGAGCTTTTTGTGTTTCCTGTGCATTACTGCTGTTTATTCCATCCATGAGCCACAGATCTCTCATTGATCTTTTCTATGAAAGACATATAGAGATGCTTCAAATCCCAGACCATAACAATTCTGAAAAATGCTGATGAACAGGAAACTATACTTCTAACATCAAGAAGGTACCTTGACATGTTGAAGCTTTAGCTTCTCTCTGTCAATCTCAAGCCGTTTGTGGGCAATTTCTTCTTGGATTTTTTTCTTATTCTGTGGAAAAATGAACTTAAGAATTTATATAGAGACGTAGAACTAGCATAGCCATGTAAGTGGTTGCAGTACAGTTGTTGCAAATTCCAGAGCCTTGAAATAAGTAGACAATCCCATGTGGTTACCGTAATAGCTTGAAGGCGCTCCTTTAAGAGTTCTGCTTCTTCCATCCTGCCTCTGGACAATAAAAAAAGAAACATTTATCCTTTATATGACACTACAAAATCATCACTAATACTAGTAGGGCTGTATTTTGAGATCGGTCTAATGTCTCAAAGGGTTGTTGGGTGATATGTAGGTCAAACTCCATACAGTGACACTGATATTTGGCTACTTGATTTAATGTCCATTCATCACCACTTGCCTTCTGCTTTCTAAAAATCACTGCGGTTCCATGAATAGCAGCAGTGGTAAAACAGTCTCTGCAATGTCATAAATAATAAATATCATAAATAATCTGCCTGACAGGGTTTGGTTGCCCGTGTCTGAGTGGGTGACCCCTTGTAGACACTGCCGGGTTCCATAGACATCCAAGTAAGGCCTTAGGCTAGAACTTGCCCCTTGAAGTAGCTTCATGCTTCATTCACCCGATTTCCAGTTAAATATCTCTTACAATAGGCCAGATGTGACCTCCTGTGATTGTCACATCAGCTGTAATGCAGGAATATGAAACAATATTGTAAAGTTACAAGCAAAGCAATGAATGGATCAGTGCTTCCTACAAAATTCTTTATCAGCATGTATAATTTTAACTAGGTTCACTGCTGTTGCTTAAATTATCATTGACATGAATGGACATAATGCTGACTTGATTAAGTGAGTTTTTCTGACCTCATAAAGCTACAAAGGTTGTTTTTATATGTTGATTTTTGCAAGCAACCACAAAGACAACAACATTGAACGACATGCTGTCTTTGTTTTATTTTGCACTAGGGTCAAATATGGATTTTTTATTCGTTTTTGCCACGATTATGTAGATTTAGCAGTACAGGAAACACTGCAATGGATTATCATATAGAATACATTTTAATTCACCTCATCTACTTTTGATCTACTTACCTACTTCTACATTTAGGCATATCTTTGCTAAAGATACTTCAGTTTTAGGTTTTAAACCAATACAAGTACTTGTCTAGAAGACTAACACTGTCATGTTAAAGTGACAGCAGGGCCGGTGTCTGTGGGTCCCCAGGCTGCTTTTTCTCCCCAGGAAATGCGAGACCGACTCCAGACTTCCTGTCCCATGTTTCATACACAGACAGTATCCAGTGCTGACTCAACACAACCCTGCTCATCTGCTTTAGATATAATGCTGCTCACTGCCCGGTTTATTAACATACTAAAAAACTGTCCAGGATAGTTGCTTAGCATTTGCCTGTAGGTAATAAAATGAAATGTATATAAAATTACTTTCCAAAAACGTTTCCAGGAGAGACATAATTTATTTTGATCTCATTGATAATTTCAATTAATACCAAAGCATCACCTACAGATCTGTGGATGAGTTTGGTAAACCCTTATGCTCCAGAATTTCACTAGACTCAGGAACAATCCAAAAATAACAAGGCCGCCCAGGGGTACATTTCCTAATAAATCCGACACAGTGGCACACCAAACCATTGGGTCGCTTTTCTCCCTGACACAAAAACCCACAAAGTTTTCAGAAATTAATGCATATAAGGGCCAGAGAAAAAATGGCAAAACAAAAGTGAACGAATAAAATGAGGAATTAATTAGATTATTAATAAATACCCTATTTTTAAAAAAATTGACATGGTGAGGGCATGGTCTAAAACCCAGTAGAACTCACGCAAATTTAACCAGATTGCACTGCATTTTACTGTGTAACTAGAGTGAAAAGGGCACAAATTATTTTTTACAGATTAAGTTACATCTGACAGTTTTATAGAAACAGCACATATTCAAAGCAAATTGAACAAGCTGATTGGCAGATAAAATCTTATATGATAAGTTGTTTCTGGGGTTGAACACTACATGCTTTGCAAGCCTCTCCTGCACATGGCCAGTTTTCCTGTCAGTTTGATCCTAGAGGAAGTTTCTCTCTAATCTCCTCTAATCTGATCACCAGTCAGTTAAAATGTAAATCTCTTGTGGCATCTGCTCCCATAACAACATCCTGACTAGACAAACATCCAGGAATTGTACACTTATTATATTTGATTGCAGATATTGGACATCTTAAACTTTATGAAACGATGCAATATTTTATCCAAAATTCATCAATATATGAAAAATATATGTGTTCACGCTTCTAAAAACATAGAAAATGGGGCCTGAGTTGCAATTAAATTAGTTTTAAAATGTCACTGAATATTTTAATGACCAACTCTTTTTAATGACTTCTTAAAATAATAAGTGAAAGTTTAAACCCTCACTTTTCCCCAAACTAAATGTCACCCAATCCACAGATAGGTTTCCGAGACCATCGATTCACGTGCAAATGAACTCTACAAAACTTTAGACAAATCTTCAGCAGGTTATGGGATCAGTTAATTGACCTTCGCACTATGTTGTATTTGTATCTTCACTAAGCAAAGCAAAACGGCAGAAAACACACTTACCGGGCGGCTGAAGACGAACGGATATCCAGAAGGGTTTTGTGAGTTCACGCGCAGCCGTCAAGCGGCTCTCATTTAGGCGTGCGCAAGTGTTGTAGGCAAGACTGACAGGTTCCCTTGAGCCAATGAAATGTCAGTGAGCTTCAGTTATTCAGTCTCTATAGTCTCATCAGTGAATGACGACAGCCCACACCCTTTTAAGCTTGTGACAATTTATGCCTCTGTGTTTGTTATATGTGGAGATAGCATTTTCTTGGAAGAAAACACACCATAATAAAATGCTGAAAAATTATTTTTTAATTAATACACCTTCTAATTGTCTAACTGTCCAAATACAGACATTAATAAATAATATATAGTAATAATATTAATAAAAACATAGGAACTACATTTTGAGAAAAGTGAGTTTTGACTAAAATCCAAATATGATCTGTCCTGTGAGCGAGAGATACAATAGGATATGTTCTTGTTCTTGTTCAATGTTCTTTTAATCTAGTTTAGTTTAATATGAAACCTTTTTACTGGGCTTTGGTGTACAGAAATGTATCTTCATTCAAAACACCATTAGGCTATACACTCCAGAGCTGCTTTCTGAGTAGAGAAAAACAGGGTCACAAATCATTTTGACGTGAGGCGACTCACAAGCTGCAGTCAAGTGTCAGACATTCCTACATGCATACTTCTGTTTATTCTCACTAGCCATAGAAAAGGAGACCCACAGCAGGACGGGACATTCCTACTGCTGCATCTAATGAAGAGAATGAAGAATGCTGAGATCTTTCATGAACTTCCCAGCTCAAATTGATATCCTTCACAATGTTATCCTTTAACAGTGGTTTCTATTTACTCATTTAAACTAATAAAAATGTAGCCAATTCACCAAAAGAATTAAAAAAAAAATTCAAGAACATGCACTTTTGTGTTCAGGACAGACGCTGCAAATGTAAAACAAAACGACACAAGCCTCCCTACAGTAGCATCTGTCATACTTTCTGCTTCCTGCTCAAATGACACATGCTTTTAGATATTTAGGGTGTGTGAGGTGGGGCATTCACAGGCTCGTGCCCTACTGACAGCTGAGGTCACCCAGTGCTTTTACAGAGACCTCCAGAAAAAACAGCAATGGTCATCAGACTGCAAGCCTGCTTCATAGCATACTGATAACAAATGTTACCATTGTTTGTTGTAAAGGTTAAGATAGAGACTCTTCATTCTAGATGTTGGTTAATTTGGTTACTTGTCATTTAACTGTTTTTTTTTTTTCTTTTTTTGAGGTAACACTGTAAAACTAGATGTGCATGAATGAATTGGGTTTTCAAAATAAAATTATAATATGGTAAAATTATAATAATAATATATCATTATTATAATATTAAATTTGAATGAATGAATATTTGATGGATGAATAAATATTTATTTAATTAGTGTGAATTTGTTCTAATACAAGATTCACTGATCAGATCGGTCGTGGCAGACTATAGGTCTATTCTTTACTGGTGTCTACAGATGAGACTTCTTGTTCTATCACTTTTAATCCTCTAAATTTCTACAGAATTCAAGGCCTATTACTACTTTTCGTCCTTGTGACAGAATGCACCTTTACATCTGCTATGTGGCATCCAAGAAGGCACTTAACCCACTTTTCTGTCCTAATCCAATTAGGCTGTCACTCTTCCCACAGGGTATTGATCAGACAAGTGGAGTGTGTTAGTGTGTGTTCAAAGGTGACGTGATCCTCATACTCAATTCAAGCCCTTAGGAACTGTATTTCCCTGTGTGTAAGTGTGTGTGCCTGGTATTTCCTATGTTATGGCGACCAAATGTCCCCACAAGGAAACCAGTACATTTTCACCTTTTTTTTGGTCCACATGAGGAAACTTTTAAATCACAGAATGAAGTTTTTAGAAAATCTAAAATAGCAGAAAATTTTGTGTGAGGGGGAGTGTTAGGGTAAGGGGATAGAAAATACAGTTTGTACAGTGTAAAAACATTACACCTTTGAAATGTCCCCATAAAAATGGAAACGTGTGTGTGAAATGTATGTATAAACTATATTTGATCATATCAGTTCAACTTAGATTTAAGTCCATTTACGTTCTGTGCACCTTGTAATATTGCAGTGTTTCTAATCTGCCATTTATGATAAGCATACAGTGTCATATTTTCCCACAACCTGTCATTTTTAACTCATAAATCTGTGGGTGCCACATGTTACACAGCAGAAAGGCATTTGTGGGGTTCTTGTGAGACAACCAAGGTCTGGTCATCCCCATAAAAATGGACATCTGATTTTCGAGCTCTGTTGTCAAGTCATGCAAGATGACTTCAGTGAGCCCTTGCTTCTCAAGAACATTTTGTGATGTATCACTTAGAAGGAACAGAACAGTGACAGGAATGTAATGAGAGGTGAGGAAGTGCTTTTTATATAGTTTAAGTGGATATTCTAAAACTGAACTTTTTTTTTCTGGTGAGTCACAGAATCTGACACAGGGCAGTGTGATTAAAAAAAAATCTGATTATTCTGAAGTGTTACCCATATTCAAACAGCAAATGAGAATAAGGCAAACCTAAAAGCTGTTGTTCATTGTTGTTTTTATTGCCATGGACACCCCATTCTAGCATTCTAGCAGCCTGTCATTAGTCACTCACAGTGAACTGGACATCGACAGACTGAGTTCGGTACATTAACTTTGGCACTACTTTTAGAAGAAAATAAATGTGCATTTAAAATCTAAAGCCTGTAAGTGACCTTTAATTTATTTGCCCTGATTGCTGCATGATATGCTTACTGGAACATAATCTTTTTCTTGCTTCAATAGTGACAGAGTTCCCGTGTTATATGTAGGACAGTCTCATTTCTTCCAATCCTAAAAAAAAAAAAACAGTAGGGGAGATCTTTAGCATTAATAGACTTATAATGAGAAAGACTATATTACAATATCAAATTTAATGCAAGAGTGTTGCAGTTGGCCCCGTAACAGTACTTGGAGATATAGAATTATAAACAGTTTGAAGTTAAAATGTCTAAATTATGAATTTGTTTAGTACAAACATGCAGCTTTTCACTTCACAAGACTTTAATTGATGGACTAGATTACTTGTGAATTGGACCTTAAAATAAAGTGTGACCATAATGATAATTAGTTGCCTATTAGCATGCCTATTATTAACATATTGACTGTTTATTAGTACTTATAAAGCACATATTCTGCATGACCATATTCTACAGCCCTAATCCAGCCCAATGCCTAAATTTAACAACTACCTTACTAACTATTAATAAGCAGCAAATTAGGAGTTTATTGAGGCAAAAGTCGTAGTTAATGGTTTGTTAATGGCTAGAAATTGGACCTTAAAATAAAGTGTGACCTATAATAATAATAATTTGTATATCCCAGGAAAATGTCCCAGTTGAAAATATTTTATGAATGTAATTCATAAGTTGTGCTTTATTCAAAGTTCCAGTAGATGGCACTGCTCTGCATCAGATGCTCAAACCAGGTGGATTGCTCAAAAGGTAAAGAAAAATCAGCAGCATATCTACTATACAGTACAGTAATATATCTACAACACTGACAGTGTTGTTCTCCATAGCACTCTGATGACTCAATTCAGCAATAGCATCATGGAAATAAAATGTCCCACATACTGAAAGTGTGTTGACCTTACAAAATTTGATATAAGAGCTTGCAGTTTTGAATAGCTGCTTCACTCCACTGATGTATCAAGAGCTATTCTTTGCAGCATTTTCATGGTGTGGATATACTGTAGGAAATCAGGCACGACTACAATACAATCATGTGATGGCACCTTCAACAAAAAGGTCCTCACCTTGTCATTCAGTCTGTCCAGACTCATTTGAGCTTAAAAATAACAATGGATTTGCTTCACCACCGGAACAGACGGTTTTAATATGCTAATGCCTCTGATGTAGCATTAATCACACACTCCAGTTTGCTTTAACAAAGGTTTTGGGGCAGCGACAATGACTATAACACACTTACGCCTGCCTATCTTCACATATGCACACTTACACACTCAGACACACGCCAAAAACATGCCTACTGATATCAGCACAAACAATACATGCCAAAACGTGCATGCTAATTTTGAATGTATGAATGCATAATTAATTGTTTTCTTAATAATTCAAATGTATACTGTACACATTAAAAGATTAATCTGCAATATGCAGGGATGTGACTGTATTTGGGCTGTGCTGTGTCAAGCTGAGTCGTCTATTGCAGTGAATGACGCTCTAGTTGCTTCAGTGGCATGGTTGCTATGGTGAATTTTCACATGGGCAACGGTGGATTGCATGTTCTCTAGTGCCCTCCACAGTATGTCATGCAGCTATGAAAATGCTTTGGAAAAAAGAAACAGTCTTTTATGCCTCTCTCTGTAAACATGATTCCAGCACAAAAACATGATGGTTTTCTCTGCTCCTGAATCTCAATTATAAAGACAGATTATATGAACATTATTCATAATCACACAAGATTAGAGAGATGTAATTGCAAACGGAAATGTAACTGATTTATTTTTATGGATATTGTATAGATGTTACAGTGTGTCACACTAATTGGTAAGTATGGGATGTATTGATTGAAAACCAGCATGCAGTGACCTGTGAAATGTCACATCTGCAAAGTCGCATATGGT